TAAATCATAATAATATTTTTTAAAAGCCTCTCCTATTTTTTCTGGATTTAATAGGATTTCCCCATTGTATACAATTTTAGTTATAACCTTTTTAGCTCTTTCTTTCTTTAGTCTATTTGACATCAGTGCTTCTGCTCTGTTTCCTGTATAATACCACTTTTGTTTCATGGCTATTAAGGCCTTATTAGCTTTTACTAACAATTGGTCATTTATTAGTTTTTCTATTTCTGTTATAGAGTTGGTAATATTATTCAAAGGGTTTATTTTATTTTGATAAAGTAAATCATCCAACCTTACATATAGCTCTGCTAGATTAGCCCTTTTCTCATTCCATTTATTTTCTTTAGCTGTTAGACTTATGAGATGACCCCTTATAACCGATTTGAACGCACACCACGTCATTGCTGGACAGATCTCATTGTTTCTATTTTCTAAGAAGAAAAGGTCTGTCATCTTTTTAATATAATTAACGTTATTTTCCTTTCTCAAAATCCACTCCTTCATTCTCCATTCTGTTCTAGATCTCTCAAACTGTTCTTTTAGTTCTAATATAACTGGATTATGATCAGATCACGTTATAGATGTTATAAGGATTTTTTTAACTTGTTTCACCAAATATTTATCCCCCAAAATTAGATCAATTCGCGAGTATGAACAAAATGTTTTGGAAAAACATGAAAAATCTCTTTCTTTTGCATGGAATATCCTCCAATAATCCAACAATTCATTTTGTTTAACTAAATCAGAAAATATTCTCCCATTGGTTTTTACCTTCTTATAGTTATTACCTTTTAATTTGGGACTCTTATCCAAGTCTGCGTCCAAGACGCAGTTGAAGTCCCCCATAACAATGACATAGCCTGTTTTAATACGGTCAATTCTATTAAATATTTTCCTAATAAATGGAATTTGTGCCTGGTTCGGAGCATAAATATTAGCTAATGTATATTTTTGGTTGTTGATTTCACACACTAGGATTATGTATCGACCTTCTGTGTCAAGTTCTTGGTGAACAATTTTTAAAGAAATATTCTTTGAAAACAAAAAAGCTACCCCTCTTTTTCTTTTTTGGCTTAGGGAGGCATTAATTATCGTGGGAAATAACTTAGACTTAAGTTTTATTTTTTCTTCTAATTTCCAGTGTGTTTCTTGTAAAGCCACTATGTGTATTTGCTCCTTCCTCAAAAATTCAAGAATTGTATATCTTTTAAATTGGGAATTGATTCCTTGTGCATTCATTGTTGCAAATCTCATATTATATTCTTATTTTTTCTTTTTTTTTTTTTCCTCCCCTTTCCCCTTTCTCTCTTTCTTTTTCTCCACCGGGAGTCTAGAAGGGCCATCATCTTAACATACAAACACTTACAACCATACATCTCTGTACATTTTCTGCCTTTACTTAGGCCTAGAATGTATCTATCCTCTCTCCTACCTATCTCCTTCCCCGGATTTCCCATAATCCTGAGGAGACAGATCAAATAGCAACAGTGTCCCTCTTGCGAGAGTCGCTTATAACCCCTTCTTTAGACTCACAAAATTACCAACAATCTATGAGCTAAAGTATTCTCCTGGCCAGGAGAAATATATCTGTAAAGCGAGAGGGAAAAAATAAATAAATAAAAAATTTAAATCTAAATTTGTTTCCCTTTATCCCTTTTGTCGTGAATCTTCTGTGTACTGTTTTAGTCTCTTTTCTATATCAAATTTCCTTTTCTTCCTTCTTGTGACAATTATCAATCAAATTATTGAATATATATGAGTTTACCATTGTGTTTTTTCAACTCATAAAAAAAAAAAAAGTGAATAAGTGTCTTTTTTTTTTATTCATTTGACTCTTTGTGTATCTCTATTTCTCTCCCTTCTCCCTTCTTCCTTTTACTCATCCGTCATATCTATAGTGGTTCCTCTTTTTTCCTTTATCAGAAACTTTTCCTTATTGTGATAAGTGACATTTAAGTAAGTGTTTGTATAGTGATTTACTACCATATCTTATACCCAGATTTAAAAAATAAAATAAAAATTAAATTCCCTTCCTCTCCTATATTATGTTTTTTTCTTGCATCCATTTTTTTAACGTTTGCGGTTTATCAAAAGTTAACCTTTGATTGTCATAGGTTAAATTTAAGCGTGTCGGGTAGCCCCATGCGTATTTAATTTCCTTTTCCCTCAGTATCACTGTTTGTGTTTCAAATAATTTTCTTTGAGCTCTCGTCTGGAAAGAGAGATCTTGAAAGATCTTAATTTGTTGATATGCTGATTCTTTTAGGTCTTTAACCGAGAAAGCTTTCATAATTTGTATCTTGATCCGGTATGACCGGATCTTTTCTTTTATATTTTCCAGTTTTGTTTCCAGAATATTTATTTTATCAGTATTATTCTTTTGTTGCATATCAGTTTGTTCTGTTTTATCTTCCAATTCTTCCAGTCTTCTCCTTATTTTGGACCTCTTTTTTAATTTCCGTTGAGTGGATACTTATTTCTTCCTTTATTTTTTCTAGTTGGTCTTCTAGGCATTTGGCCAAATATTCAGCCGAAATAGAAACACTGTCACTCCATGAATTATCAGATATTTTATCTATTTCCGCTTCCTTAGTATTCAATAATGGTAATGATTCATGTATTGATTTAGGGTTTTTTCCCTTATTTAGTTGCGGAGAAAAAAAAATCAGATGCTCTTCTTTCTGTTGTACTTTCGTTATTTACTTCCATCTTTTTCATTCTTTTGGAGCTTTGCTTAATATCTTGTGTTTTCTTTGTAGCCATATTTTAGCAGATTTTGGTTTCTCAAACCTGTGCCTTTTTATGCAGTCTAATTAGGTCTTCTTTTGATACTTATAATTTCAATAATTATTTAGCCCCTCCTCTGCCTCTATCAAACACCCCTCTCCAAACCCAAACCCCTCAATCTAGCCGTTTAGGCAGTCCACCTCTTATTGATGCAACACAGGGGGGTAGGAGAGAGAAACTCCACAAACAAGACAAACAACAAAAAAACACAAAACAGCAGCACAGTTTTTCTCTTACTTCAGTATCAATAGTGGACTGGGCTTCTGCTTTTAAACAGGTTTGAACCTTAAATAAACTTGTCTGCCACGGCCCCACATGCAGTCTTTGAAATCCTGCTCACCTCTTTCCTTCACCTTCCTTTTTCCCCTCTAACACGTTTTCCTTTTTCTTTTTTTTCTTCTTTTCCTTCTTTCTACCTTCTCTTCCTTCCTTTCTCTTTCCCTTTCTCTTTCCTTTTTTTTTCTCTCTTTTTTTTTCTCCCTCCTTCTCTCTCCCTCTTTTTTTTTTTCACATTTTCTTTTTCCCTTTTTCACATTAGACAAGTCTCCAACAGTTAATATACTTATCTGCTTCAGCCCCTTATCAAAGGTATCCAGATATCTGGGTCCCAGCTCACTGCTTCTTTTCTCTGCTGTTTAAGGTCCTACCTGATCTTCCAGACATTAATCATTAATGTTACCGATTTCCAGGAGTGCTCACTGCTTTACCACACGCTGCACACCGCACACCAAATACTGCACAAACCGCTTGAGTTGTGTTCGTTTTCTTCCACACTGTCTCATTCTCTCGTGTGCCCTTTCGTCCCGGCCATGGAAAACGCCCGCGAAACGCCGCGTAGCGTGCGTCCGCTACGTCATACCCGCCCCCCCCACAGATGTGATCCCACTGGAAGGAAGAGGCCCACTACCAACTTTAATTATTATATTATAACTCTTATTAGAATCTAACATTTATCTAATTCACGATTGGCTATGGTTTCCGACCTCAAATATTTCTATACATACCTCAATACACACACACTCACACTGCAGCCCCTAGTTGCAGTCCCTAATGTTGCAGTTAAACCTGGGACTGCACGCTGATGGGGCCCATCAAGTGGTCAATGCACTTAGGACCACCTGATGGGCATTTGTCTTCAGTGGTCCCCAAAATTCTTGCACCAGGGCCCTCTTTTCATTAGTTCCGCCACTGATACTACATTCTAAGGTTGTGTTTTATGTAATTGTGTAATTTCAGTTCTACATTCACCACCTGCCTGTAAAGATTGCTCCTGGTCCCATATCCGTCAGCGGGGATTGTACTGCTGAATGCTGTTCCATTTAAGCTGGACTGTAACTCCTCACTAAAGACTGTCTATCATCTTATCATCTGTATGTTTTATTGCTGTTTTTTTCTAGATTTGTACTCTTTTGGATTGAAGTGACTTTTCCGTAGATATAAATGTTTTATTTTTACTGCATAGTAAATATTTAGGACATAACTACCTTTTGTCAATGGAACAGTACTTGGAAATTTAGGATAGTCTGTCAGCAGGCTTCAACAGACACAGTGCTGAGATTGGGGAAAACATTTCCAGAAAGCACACAATGACAAAATGAGGGTCACATTTCTAGTAGGCACACAGAGTTGCTTGTGAATGACACAAAAGTGCTAGTATTTGAATAGTACATGGTGCCGGTATTGAGGCCAGTTACTTCATGTTTTCTCCTGTAGCCCGGCGGTAACAGCTTTTGTTCATTCTGTCAACCACAGTTCACATCTTGTTAATGGCATGAAATATGTTCTCTTTTTATTATATTTGCTAAATTAGATAGAAATTAACATTGTTTGAGATGTCACATATGGGAATATTTTATTCTACATGAACCAACACATAAGAGAGTAAAGTTTTTTTTCAGGGAATTTAACTCACTTTTATAAATCCCTTTAGTTTCCTACCTCACTTTGAACTAACGTGTGAATCTCATTGAGGGAGTAGCTAACTTTGTCCAATATTCAACTCAGTTTCGTAGACACCATGGGCGTTGGATCACAGAAAATGTATTGGGGTTAACAGTGAAGTGAAAATAGGCTTTCAAAATCTAGACCACAATAGTCAAACTGGAAATATTCTCCAATAATGTTCTATTATTCCACCTCTGTTATTTCGGTTATACTTTTTATATTTTTTCATACTCTCCACGATTCTCTGTTTAATGAATCAAAACGTTTATGCAGAATCATCTGGAATGCCTCACTTTTATTTGTATATATAGTGTGCGGTGGGAGCATTGGGAGGTTTTATATGGGGGGGACGATAAAACTAATACTTGTAAAAATATAAAATACTTACCATCAGAAGTCTTCTTTCTTATAACTCTTCTTTTATTCAGTCCCCAAAAAAGCTAAACATATGTTATTTCCTTTAAATTATTTGTACTACGGTTTCCTCCTCCCCACCCCCCTTATTTTGCCCTCCTTTGCTCTTAGGGAGAGTAAAAAGAGCATGACCGGATATATGGCAGTTTGCCCAAAAATCTTATTAAATCCTGTGATAAGTTGTGTCAATCACCCTTATTGACAGCCACCTCTTGTTCCCGGTGCCGCCTTTTCGGGCAGCAAATATGCTGCCCTAAAAGACAGTCCTCCATACTGATATATCTCCACTTCCCTTGACGCAGCCTCCATTTTAAGACCATGCCTGCTCCTTTGTTTAGGCCTGGTGCTTCTGCTGCTCCATGGAGGAGGTTCAATATACTGCAGAAATGTGTCTGCAGGAGGGCTTGGGGAGAGCTGTCAGACACTGTATCTCATGTCATATCACAGTGTTTCAGTGGCAGCAAAGGCTGCACAGTGTGAAAAGTGAAGATGCAGTGTCTAACAGCTCTCCCCAAGATCCAGGTTTTAAATACACCCCTGAATTTTCTCCCCTACAGTCTCCGATAAGTCTCCCCTTGTCCATGCTTTGAATCCTTCCATCCCTCACTCTCTCACCTGCCAACAGCTCTCCACTGCAGTCTCATCCAGGCAGTATCTGAAATAATGTTCCCCAGCTAGGTAGGACGTATACTGTGGATATAGAAATTGAGCTAAAGTGTTTAGTAGTGACCTCAAATAGCAATGTCTTACCTTTAGCACCGTATTCCCCATGAGACTAATCCATCTTTAGTTTAATAAAGCAGTTTTGGTATTTAGATCATACCCATGCAGTCTTACTGCTCAAATATCTGCCATTTAGGAGTTAAATCACTTTTGTTTGTTTATGCAGCCCTAGCCACACCTCTCCTGGCTGTGACTGACACAGCCTGCATGGAAACATGTTTTTTTTTTCAATCAGATTCTAACTTGCTTTAGAAGTTTCCTCTTGCTCTGTATATTGAACTTTAATCTGACAAAGGAGGCTCCTGCATGGTCTAGGAGGCTATTAACAGAGTAGGAGATAAGAAACTCTAGATTAAACAGATTGTGCAATACAGGAACCTAAAATATATAGGTTTGTTTTCAGGAACTGTTTAGGAAGGCTGTCACATACAGTGAAGTCTGACTGGGGCTGTATAAACAAAGTTTTTTAACTCCTAAATAGTGATGTCACGAACGGTTCGCCGGGGACGGCGAACATATGCGCTGTTCGGTCCGCCCCCTATTCGTCATCATTGAGTAAACTTTGACCCTGTACCTCACAGTCAGCAGACACATTCCAGCCAATCAGCAGCAGAAGTGTTTTACACTTATCAAACTCAAGTACTAAAAAATAGAGTGGTGTTAATCAGAGATAAACTTTATTTTAAATTTACACAGTGGTCGTAGCCACTCCCAGATCTCTCTCTGTACAATTTTACCCTTACATTGCATTGTTGACCTCTTGCTTTGGTGTGATTTATGATGGCTTTGTATGGCATGGATAAAAATAATACAGGTTCATCTCAGTAGTTCTGAATCTCTAAATACAACCCATGACCTATCTTCTGCTGGGCTACAGAAACAAGTGTGGAGTAAAAAGTATATAAAGTAAATGACAAGCTAGCAGACAAGTATGATGGACTACAATTTACATTGATGATTTCTTTTTTTCTAGTTTGTAAATAGGGCTTTGTGAAAACATTGAACATATGTATATTTATAAAATAATTTTACCAAGGCTACCTCTGAAAGACCAGACTCTAGTAGTTGAAAAAGTAAAAAATAAATCAAATACACAATATATATATATATAATAAAATGATAACAAATAAGTGTGGGTGAGTGAACACATCAAATATTATTACAGAAAAAAAAAAACTAATTAAATCCCCTTCAGCTGCTGAATGGTCACAAACATGGTCTCTTTCCGGCCACCTTTAACCCTCTAAGGACACATGACATGTGTGACATGTCATGATTCCCTTTTATTCCAGAAGGTTGGTCCTTAAGGGGTTAAAGAAAGTAAATTATAATTCACAAATTATACCTATAGCATTCATCAGGATGTGACAGGATCTGTTGCTTTCTATTATGTTTGGTTTCTGCATATTTCTAAGATATTGTTAGCACTTGCATATGTAACTAAAATTTGCCTTGTATTACAGGAATAATTGTGATTAGCATTTATATAGTTTTAGGTCAAGAAACAACATGTGTGCTGTTAAGTTTTATGATGTTAAATGCTTCTTATAGCCAATACTTTCTCCAAAGACCTTTCTACTTCTTCTGAAGCTGTTGTCCATTTATTACGTGTCCAAGTGAAGTTCTTTTGGTTCAATGTTCAAGTTCCTAAAGTTTAACTTGAACTGTGTTCTTTCATTTTAAATTGATGCTAGAATGTTGAGATTTCATTTGTAGGCAGCAGTCTAGCACCATGGACCTAAATTCCTACAAGGCCTTCATGAGGTAGCCAAGAGTAATGCACAAAAAAAAGCTTAGCACCATTTTTGCAAATATAATAATTTTCAAAAATTAGCAGGTCCATACTTCATTGTACGGTGCTACACCACTCATCATTTATACTTCTGATTGATGAGGTTACACTAGTTGGTTTTCTTTATTAGTTGTTGACTAGTCATCCCCAAACTCAGAAACATACTTGTGATGATTGCAATGGCAGTTCTGGGTGCCATTTCCATAACTTTACTGAGCTGGGAATTTGTGAAAGAACTTCTAGTTAGTCCAACGTGCTACAAATTCTTCATGCAGACTTGACAACGACTCACACGCGTTCGGAGCTGCCCAGATTTCAGAGTTTCAGATGGGGGAGCTCCACCAAATTGTTGTGATTCCTCTACTGTGGTTAGCCAAAAACTGTACTTGTTGGCAAAGTAGTGGCAGGTTCCTCTTGCTCCATTACATTCAATAAATGGTGTGGCCCGAAAATCTTCAAGACATGAACCAGGTGACACCAAAGATTGACCACCACCCTCGGCACCTGCCGCAGTGTGCTGTAAAGATAAAATGGATACGTGTGTCATTTTCTATGATGGTAAGTGTGGCAGAATTCTGTACATCCAATACATCAAAGTACATACATGAGAGGCTTACATTTGTTAAATGTAGGGCAAAGATAGGTAGGAGACAGAGGAACCAAAATATAAAGATTTATTTCACTGTAAGCAAATTTTGCCAATAACTATTTTGTTACCACTCATCTGTAATCTATACACACACGTATATCTTATCTTTCTTAAAACAAAGTAATACAATACATAGACATGTATTCTCAATTCCTGCTGGTTATTTCTTCAGACATGCTCATTATTGAAGGGATTTAAGTTATGCTAAATATAATATAAAGATTTTGTGATACATCTTAGTCTAATGTGAAGATTTCCATTTTTGCCTTCATTGCATATTTAGCTTGATATCTCCATTATTCAAGATTCATTGTAGCATACGTGAAGGGGACATAATTGTCAACATCTTTTGTTACTACAGTAAATCCTGCAATATTTTGTCACTACAAAACGTTAACGTTGTCTATGATTTACCCCCAATAATACACTCCTTCCTATCTCCATCAGCAGCTCATCGCTGCTTGATCTTAATCTTTAGGTTCAACTATCTGTATTTTATATTTAAAAGAACAGAAAAAAAAACTACATAGGTGTGCGATGTGGAAGGGGCCACCAGATGAAATCTTGTTGACCCACACCACCGCACCAATGCAGATCTTACCCAACAAATTGTAAAAAAGCTCAAAAAAATGACAAATACTAGGAGATAAATAATATATTAAATAAACATAACCTTTATTGCGTCATACGACTTGGAAAATAAATAAAAGTACTAAGAAAAAATTAGTGAAATGAAAACGTGTAAACGTGATTAAAAAGAAAGTATGCTAGCCAGGTGTCAGTATCTCAAAAGTAATACTAGAAAGCCATACTAGTAAGATCACAATATTAATATCTACAAATGGGCATATAATGAAGGGAAAAATTGGCAATTGATATACGGGTTTATACCAGATAAACTAGAACCCAAAGGGGACACTCTAGGTTTATAATGGTCCACAACTAAGCACTTAAAAAAGTACTTGCATAATACAACAGTGATTATCAATTTGACAATTGTATTCAAAAGGCTGAGCTCAAAAGGGAACACTCTATAGTAATAGTGATTGTGGTTCACTTGAAATCAATATACAATGTTGCTAATTATAATATCACACAGTATCTAAATAGAAAAAATGTTACCCTTTTGAAGTAGAGACTCTAGTTTCAATAAGATTAAAGCAGTCAATACGATTATATATTTCTATATAATCTCTCTAGATAGATCTACATATAGAGGAAAAAGACAATACACAATAGAAAGAAAAACCCAAACCTTATAAACTTATTTATCTTAGTCACAGAAATCACAGTCTCAGAGTATTTGGGAAACAAAAGGTATAAATAGTTTCCCACTTAAATACTTTGTACTGTAAAATCAATAAATGGGCGAAAAACAGCGCCTCCTAAAGTATCATTTTGTCTCTCTATAAAGAAAAGAGGGTAAATTTTAGTAACTGGCTGACATCTTCCTGTGATGCCACATAACTGTATTTAAGTCATATCAGGCTCCCCATAATCAATAGTAAGGGCCATCACTGACTGAGAACTTATCAATTAAAGGTGTATTAGCAGTTTTATAGTTTAAATTTCAAAATAGTACATATATATAATGCGTCATAGTACAAAGGTCCCTAGTGTTTCCCAGTAGCCAGTAAATTAGACTTATTTAGACATGCAGGACCCCCATGTCAAACAAATAGCTTTTACTTTACCATAAAATGAAAGAAAAGACTGTATATTCAAAACGGCGAAAAAGAGAAACCTTCATTCAGTCCCCTAGGGCTGAGAGTTTTAAGTTGATAAATCCAGAAACACTCCCTCTGTCTAAGAAACTTATCAAAGTCTCCCCTCCTTACATTCTTTTTGACTAGTTCCAGACCACAAAACAGTAACCCTTTAGGGTCACCTCCGTGGTATTCCCGCAGGTGTCTTGATATTGGGTTATCTACTAAGTTGGGGTACCCTTTCTCTTTGAAGGATTTTCTAAGGTGTCTCGCTTTCCCATAGAACTCCTTGCTACAATTTTGTCTCACTCGAAGGTATTGACCCGCGGGAATACCCTGTTTTAAGGAGCTAGGATGAAAACTGTCCCATTTGGGGAGATTATTTGAGGACGATGGTTTTTTATAGAGGGTAGTGTGTATTTTGTTAGTTTCAGTAATGGAGATTGTAAGGTCCAAAAAATTCAAATTTGCCCCACCAAACTCACTAGTAAATCTTAGGTTCTCCTCATTGAAGTTCAATAAATTCACGAATTCATCAAATTCTTCCCTGTTGCCACACCATACAATGAGCACATCGTCTATGTAACGACGCCACAGGAAAATGAGAGAGAGGTATTTAGACATATTTGTAGACTGGTTCAAACTTTCCTCCCACCATCCTAGATGTAAATTAGCATACGATGGGGCACAAGCTGTCCCCATCGCAGTGCCCCTTATTTGATTATAGAATTTGTTTCTAAACATAAAGTAATTGTGTGTCAAAATCTATTCTAAAAGGGTAAGGCAAAAGTTGGAGTGTGAGGAATGTTGTTCACCTCTTGATTCAAGGAAGTGGCCCGTATGTTTTATACCATTTGAGTGAGGAATCGAGGAGTATAGTGCTTC